AAAACTTTTTTCTCATATTCCCCACACTAGGTTTATTTCCTGTGTCGTGGATGCGTTCACATACACGTAATACGTTTCTCCGAGCAGGAATCGAAAGCGCGACACGTTGCGCGGCAGCCGCTTGGCCAGCTACCGCACTAACCGTGTTGTCAACATGAATAGGTTTTGTTTGAATTTTTGGTCATGTGCAGTCAAAAATGTACTATCATAACTAGACTCTCTAGCTTACTAAGTAACTTACTTAATTCTTCATAGTGTTTCAAAGTGATTTTAAACAATGCTTAATATCTTAAGAAAGATAATAATTATACTTGTTTATTCCAAGTGAGGCACACAATTTGTAATCTTTATAATCACCTTTTAATTTACTATTCTACAATTGAACACACACATGAATATTAAAACATGTTTCATTAAATTTTAGAGCAGAAACGTACCCAATTAATAATATCTAATTTGCAGTTAATATTAAATATTCATAGTGAGTCTAGACTAAACAATAAACTAGTTTAGTTTTTAGCCACTAGAGTTCATAGTTCATCATTGAGCTTAATTCAGTTTAAGCAAAATTTCCAGTTTAACGTCAGCGCTAACCAAATTTGTTTAGGGAGGTGGACGTAACATACCCCTATAATTTAGGTAGGTACTTATAGTTAGGGTTGATACCAACTTTTGGCCTAACTTGGTTTAGCGTGCACCGACACCTTTATGCTAAATAGGTGGACAAAAATGGCGTTTACATCATAGAATTAGTGGGTTAGTACTTGTACGTACTGAGTTTTTTAATTAATTATTATGTTTTTCGGCTTACTCACGTAATTATTTGACCAGGTACTCGATTTTTTTTAAGAGGTGAAAACATCGAATTACTTCTCCCGCCTGGAGGGAGTGTCAGACTCTTGCTGATCAAAACTGTTCTTTAAGAAAGGTTTCAAGATCATGTGTTGGAACCCGCACCACGAACGACTTGAAGTTAGTATTGTGGCGCGACTCGCAACTACTCGACTCTCAAGGTCCAGTTCGTCTTCACTCGCTTATAATTATACTCCATGACACCCTCTGCCTTCGTAGAGTGATGCAGTCGGGACACGTACAGCAGCGTCTTTATTTATTAATGAATTACCATAATCAATTTACAGGTACATTATATTTATTTGCATAATATCCAATATCTTTGTTGCGTACCCAATTAACTGAGCGGAACTGGGAAGCCAAAACGAAGGCGCCGGACGCGGGTTAATATCTCAGAATACATTATGAGAGTCGGATCAAAGTCCCAATTAGTTGCCTATCCCTAACGTCGGCACTGGTGCACCGCAAAACACGGCTTATCCGAACCATGGTTAGGGATCGCCACATTTAAGCCCTATCGCCGTAGGAAACATTTCTCGAATATTCTGTAGTCTTACTTTTATAAAAACTTAAATTACTTTTAATATTCTACTGCCTCGTTGGCCGAGTAGCAAGTGTGACTGCCGGGCAAGGGGTCTTGGGTTCGATTTCCGGGTCGTGCAAAGTATTACTGGTTTTTTTTTTAATAATTCTCAGTAGCAGCACCGAGTTTGGAATTATGCCCTGTATACATAGGGCAATAGGCTCAACCTCTATTAGTTGGTCCATTTGTTTAACTAGAAGAGAATCAAGCTCCTTAATCTAATGAATATAAAAAAGTGAACTTATGATTTTCAAATTTGCAATAGTTGGATCTGATGTGTGATACAGACCTATTGTAATGAGAATAAGAATACACCTACTCTCTTCGATTAATGTATAGCTGTAACATTTTGTTAATCCTTACTAATATTATAAATCGGAAAGTGAGTTTGTTTGTTTGTTTATTTGTTCCACCTTCACGCCGTAACTACTCAACCGATTGCTTTGAATTTTTGCAGACGTAAAGTTAGAAGTTCAGATTAAATAATAGGGTACTTTTTATCCCGGAAAAAATTGATATTCCCGAGGAAAAACAAAAGTATTGGTATAGATGGCGCTGTGTGTATTGGTATATGTTACATAGGCTACTTTTTATTCTTTTGTGACGAGAGCGAAGCCGCGGGTAAAAGCTAGTGATATAAAAGCAACAACAACTCGTCGCGTTGTCAATAGGCTCACCCCCTATTACATTGTACAGTGGTATTAAGTGCCGTAACGTGCTCCTCTGTCTTTCCCTTCGGGGGTAAAAAGCATGGTGTTATTTTATAATTACTAGAACCGGGAATAAAATATGGTATTAAATGTATTCTTGTAAATTTAAATTCTTAGTATGTACATAAATTTCACTCTGAAACTTTTAATTGAGTTCACGATTACTTTGAAGTACACAACAATTAAATAAATTAGGCTACTCATGTGTAAACACATAATAATTTCAAAAATCTTTATAAAGTTCAGTTTTTAAGTGTGGGTGAGCCATGCGTTGTGTTTCGTTGTGTGAGTGAGGTGACCGGAGGCTCAATTACTTCCTCTTCCCAGTCTCCTCAATCCCCAAATCCTCAACAATCTTCAAATTCTCAATTCCTAAAAGGCCGGTAACGCACTTGTAACGCCTTAGTGTTTCAGTTGTCCATGGGCGGCGCCGATTGCTTACCATCAAGCGATCCGTATGCCCCTTTTCCGGTTTATGCATTTAAAAAAATATAGTTATTCATAAATGAGTGGAGTGCTTTACACATATTTTATATCGATTTAATCTTACTTACGCCCGAATACTGAAAGGCAACTCAATATTAAGTTAGAACTCAATATTAAGGTACTCAAATATCGCGCCATCTCTGTCATTTTACAAAGAAGTTGTAGAGATAGAACTATACTTATTAAGCGCGACTTAAAATCAAGTGACGATTGAGTATTTCAAGCTAAGATACTAATAAACCAACAGTATTTTCACTTTGAATGGCCTCGTCAATTATAGCTAGCTAAGAAACCCTCAATACATACAAAGTCACGAGGATTAGGCAAGATAAGTATAGTTAATAGTATTTAGTATTTACCGGTATCAATACTTACGTAAGGAGGCGCGAAAATAACAATTAATTCGACAAAGATTAGTGAACACAACATTGAAAACGCAACATGACATGTTTTAACCCCGCAATCGTATTAGGAGGCATAAGCCGACCGGTGCCAACGAAAACAGTGTAGGTAATGGGATACCTCGATTGAGCATCTTGACCTATGTCTGCCTAAGCCGACATTAGCCAATAAGTCGGAGGCGTTACGTACGCACGTTTAGTACATACAATTACGACTCAAGAGTCACAAGACGTGATAAGACATTTATACTCCTCGTGTTTTGGCAAAGATATGGCCACATAACATGATGTGCCCGCGAAGAACATATGGTTTTATAATTCTTTTGTAAACGACGTTTAAAAAATCCCACTTCAACATCTTCATTTTTTGAAGTAAACTAAAACCATCTCCTAAATGTAGCAAACACTTTTGTGCAAACTACATAAAAATCTGTTCAGCCTATCGTGAGATAATCGCGCACAAACATAGAATAGAACATACATACAGACAAACTGACAAACTTCTTCTTTTGTCGAGGTCGGCTAATAAAAGATGGTTTGTTAATACGAAGGTTATGTTTATATAACGTTTACATAGAAATTCATTAATTGATTATTAATAAATATGAAATCTCATGTCTTGCATGACGGTTTTGGTCATAGAGTAAAAAGGCAAAAATAAAAATGAAATCGGCCACAGTACCTACTGCCAGTGTCGGTTCGCGCACCATGCAGGTTGTATAAGCACGAACATAATACCACCTTTGAATTTCTCAACCTAAGGAACCTGAGTGCCAAGCACGAATAAATATCGCATTCGTAACGTAATAGTATCGAGCGCGTTCGGCGCTCTGATTGGCCGGCTCAAGTAAACCAACCAATCAGAACGGTTAACTCGCTCGATACTGTTACAATACGAATGCGATAGTTATTCGTGCTTGGCCCTCAGATGGGTAAGAAGAAGTTCGAAAGCATACGAACGAGGAACAAAAGGATCGCTATTTTATATAGATTTTGTTTCTACTATGAGGCCAAAAGAAAAATATTAGGCTACATTTTTTGGGTTTTTCACCAACTCGACACGAGGAACTGATCACACGTGTGTCCAGTTGGTGAAACTTTAAATTAGCACTAATTATTCTTTCGTCATTTGGACACGCCAAGGTTTTTATGTATGTCCACATAGTGAAAATTAAAATTAATTACTTTTATGTTATCGTCAACTGGACACACCTATATTTTTTTTCTAAAAAAGGTACAGTTAAGTTATAAATTGTTTCGGTTTTAAGACAAATTTTGAAATAAAACAAATGAGTAACAATCATATATTTATATTAGAGTTAGACTCAAAGACTGTAATAAAACAGGTTCCATGTTGAAGATTTGACAAGCATAGTACTCGTAACATGGTAATAGCGACTTTCAAACACTTTCGGTGTCAAAAATATATTTTTTACAAATTCACAAATGGTGAATAATTACAAAATTACCCGGTGAAATTACTAGGTGGGACGTTTAGAGGACAACGATGATTGTGATTCAAAAATATTATCTGCGTGACTGTACTTTGTTATACATTCGGGTAAAATGTGAACGTGTGTCCAGTTGACGAAAACACAAAAGTAACTTAATTTGATTTTCACTATGTGGACATACATAAAAACCTTGGCGTGTCCAAATGACGAAAGAATAATTAGTGCTAATTTAAAGTTTCACCAACTGGACACACGTGTGATCAGTTCCTCGTGTCGAGTTGGTGAAAAACCCCATTTTTTTTACTCCTTAGTCTATTCTAAATACAACAATCACACCATAATAAAACTCCTGTGAAAAACAAACAAACACACTTTCACATTAACAGCAATAGTAATGATAACGTAAATGAACCCTAATACAGATTTATCTAACTAAAGTGTGTAGGCAGACATGTTTAGTATCTAGTAGTTAATTATTGATATGTTATCTACACTCATGTTTCAAGACCTAACGATGGTATGGTGTACACTACACTTAGTTTATTGAACAAAACTCTACATAAGCTACGTAGAGAGCAGATAGGCGTCGATACTGAGGTTAAGTACCCAATATTAATTAGTACACCCGTTTGTTACCCTCTGTTGATACGTAAGGCGGAGTTTTGAACGGAATAATTGGAGTAGGGTTTAGACCTCGACGTGTTTCGTGTAAGCTGTGACACCTGTCAACAAAATGGGACAATTCTACTGTCCTACTAGACCTACTAATTATAAAAAATAGTTCTAAGATTCCGTTTCATAGACATACATACATTACAAAGCAACAATAATCGCCAAGATGGTGTTTGAATCTCTACTTCAAAAATTCTGGATCTCAACAAGTTGATACAGGATACAGATAACGTCTCCGGTGTGAGTGTGTGTTTGAATTTTGAAAATACTGGTTGGTGGTGGCCAAAATAAATTTTATACCAAGAGCTTACGAAAACTACTACCTAACTATGAAACCTATAGGTATACGATTTCATATAAATACTAATGCAAATAACGCAAATAAAATTGTTTAAATTAGTTTGAATCTAATTTTAAATCTAACAGTGTTCTTTAATTTGATAGTACTAAATAAAAATTCTTATTTAGCACCTAATCGGGCTATCTATCATATTGTTGTGTTTTGTCACTTCCGACCCGTTTTGTAGTAAACGGTGCATGTAATTATTTTAATTTATACAGAAATTTTTAGACATGTAATCATTCTATTATCCTTTGTTTTATTTAAAGGAAAAGTTTTGACTAATCTTTAGTTTGTTAATACAAGCTTTAGTTTGTTTCGTCCTTGTTCATTGATTAAGTCATCCTATGTACGATCTTCAAGCTCAAAGTCATCGATTTCGATTCTGACCAGACAAATTGTTATAAAGATTACTGTTAAACTCACAAGCAATGACTATGTGTGGTTGTCATTTTTTATATAAAACCTACTTCTCTAACTTTACCCCTGTGTCGTGGATGCGTTTACAGTCATACCCCAATCCGAAACCAATGTTAAAAAAACAAAGAAAACTCAATTTGTATAAAACTAAATGGATCCATAAAATAAATATGTCTAATTTGCGTTCGAGTCACCTTATCAGATTTCGAGGATTCACTATTTTGTAAGCGCCCGCATTGAACCGCCCACTCCTTCCCTAATCTAACTTTACCGAGTCCCAATCTAGAGTCAAAATGTAAAAGGATTCCCACATCTGATAACGAAATGTTTTAACATAATGATTAATGTTATATGGGTTTTAGGAGCTTATTTTATTTTTCTTAGTTTATTGTGATATCGTTGAAGAATATTACGTCATAAAACCATTACGTCTATTTACATGATTTGATATTGTCCTAACAATAATTGAACACTGGCATTATCTCTGAATTCCATTATCTCTGCTTGGTAATAATTTGAGATATTTTCTTTTTTCAGGTAATCAAAAGGCAGACTGATATGATTCGAGCATGGAGCGGTTACTTGACGTTCATTCTTGTCTTCGTACAGATTGGAAGCGATTGGCTCAGCTGCAATCACATGACAGAGTGCACATGCAAATGGGCGTCAGGAAAAAAAACAGCATCCTGTGTTTCAGCAGGTTTGAAACAACTACCAAAATTAGCGTCAGACATCCAAGTTCTAAATCTACATGGAAATCCACTAATGACATTAGAAGAAGATGCTTTTACAAACATAGAACTGTTAAACCTTCAACGATTGAACCTCAGCTCAACAAGTTTACAGACTTTACATGCAAATGCATTCCGGGATCTGCGAATATTGATAGAATTAGATCTATCGCAGAACCAACTCCTCCAACTATCACCTAATACATTCAAAGGCGCTGAGCGCTTGCGGGTACTGATCCTTAACGGTAACCCTTTGAGCGTTTTAGTTGCAGAGCAGTTCCCTCCGTTGAAAAGTTTGAGGAAATTAGAAATATCACGAAGTAAGCTTCGTTCAGTACACCCATTTGCATTTGTCAATCTTCAGTCACTAGAAACCGTCAATATACACCAAAACTTACTAACATATCTCCACCAAGATACTTTCAATCTACCGTTACTAAAAACTCTTACATTGTCCGATAATCCTTGGTATTGTGATTGTCGGTTAAGGGAATTTCATGATTGGTTTCTCAATAGTAACTTAGGAAACGAAGAAGTCATCTGTGGTGGCCCAGAAAAACTAGAGGAAATGTCATGGAGATTTCTGAAACGAGACGACTTTGTGTGCCCGCCTTATGCAACATCTTCGCCGACAGTCATTAGGACAGAAACAGGAGCTGAAATATCATTCGGTTGCTTTGTTAGAGGTGATCCTAAACCTACAGTGACCTGGTCATTTCATCACATAGAGATAAACAACAGTACGGACAAACAAAGTGATATTATAATCAATAAGTATCAATTAGATAATTTCGATGAGTATAACGACGATTTCTTGAATAAAAGTGCGCAGTGGGTTAACTTGACTATTACGAATGTGACTAGTGACTTGTCAGGAGAGTGGAAATGTAGTGCTAAAAGTCCTGTAGGAGAAGCAAATGCTTATCTAACACTTTTTCTACCTAAAGCCAGGACAGCAACGGCGAGAGTTGCGCCTGATTATTCTGCGTTTTTTTTAATAGGTGGATCATTGCTCGCTATGACAACTGCTGGATTTATAACAACGTGCATTTGTTGGAAAACTAAACGGCGGAGAGTGCCACCGAGTAGAAGCTTTACAGATCAAGAAAAAAAATTACTAGATACATCTCTAGCAGTGAGCTGTGACAGAACAAGTGGAGACCTGGGATCTTCATACGGCTTTGAAATGTTAGATAGATCCATTTCTATGGAGTCTGATGATGCACGATGTTTGGAACCTGTGCAAATTACAATAGAGGGCCCGCCTGGATCCTTTCCTCCACCTCCTGCAGAATTTGCTTTGCCTGCCCCATACGGTAATATATTCATTTCTGTCCAAGTATCTGGCCACAATGATGAGTATCCTGATCTCTTAGGAGGAGGTGCAACATTACCTAGGAGAAGTAGAACATGTTTCTTAAAATCTGCTTATGACAATATGGGTCCGCGAATCACAGCTGCTGGTAGTTCAACCTGGTCTCTTCCAGGTGCTAATGGTGATAAAAATATTGATAAAGATCCATTAAGTGGTCCATTATCAACTTTTTCTACTGAATTTACAGCTTTGTAAGTTTTTGGTGATTTTATCATGTCTGTTACATATTCCATATGGCATATGATAGTAACAATTTCATTGAACTAATTCTGCCATTACTTTCAATGAATGTAACATCCGTTTATTATGAATATGAGAACGATTTAAGTTTGACCAAAATCAAAAACAGCATCGAATCTCAATTCTTTCAGAATAAATTGAAAAACATTTTAGTTATTTATTACCTCTTTTTAATATGTAAATCATAGTTTTATAATAATATCACAACCACAATACATATTTATATTCAGTTTTCAACTCACAATCTCTATAACTATTTGCCCTGTATTTTCTATTGGCATAATACTAAATTCTTAAAAGAAACCTAAGTACATACATACATAACCTCACGCCTGTCTCTCATGAGGGTAGACAGAGACTATGGACTATAAAGAGACCGAAGTTTTGGCCTAGATTCAATTTTTAGCATTTAAAAAGAAGATAATGTCTAACATATCAATTTTATAGCTGTAAATAAGAATAAGTTTGTCATTTTTATTCCAATATTTGCATTGAAATCATGTATATAGTATACGATACAGTATTTATGAAAAAGATTAAAATAAATGTAGATGATAAAAATTTATACTGACTGCATTTTATGACCAATGTTTGTCGTTTGTTAACCAATGATGGTCATTTGTAACCACGAACTTAAACTATATATTGGTTCATGTCTGGAGTGAATGATGATGATATTTATCCCACCACTATTTTCCGCAGACCCTGTAAAAGGAAGAATACATTTTAATTATTATATCTATTGCTATCCGTATACAATTTGTCAGATATGGTAATGAATAGTGTTGGGATTTTTTAAACTCGATCTTTGTGAAAGATACAATTATTTTAATTACAGTTTTGTGCATTGTGACTTTACATTACGTTACGGTACGATGATCAAATTATTGGCACTATTCAGATATTTTTATTATAGTTAGCAGTAATAAATATAATTTCACTGAAATACTTAATTTATTATTATTTCTTTGATAATGAAGGTGTTTTATATGTCATCGGATTCATACCCAAATTATAAAAAAATTGGAGAGTGAAATCCCAACCCGGTGCAGTAATGAAAATCACTTTATAAAAACTATTTCAAAACACAATGCATAAAACTGTATTTAATACAAAACTGTACAGTTATTTATAAGTTTATATACCTAACAATAGTTTGTATCTGTAAGGATTTGATCGTGGATCCATTGCTTTAAAACTGAGTGATGAGATAATAAATGAAGTGCAAACTTGTCTTTACTTTTCATTGTTTTATATTCTCTTGTTTCATGTTTGATGTTTTGTTTTTTTGAGGGGGTGAAATTATCGAATGACTTCTCCTGTCTTGGATGAGGTGAGATAGAATCTTAGAGAACACCGTTATCCTTACTAATATTATAAATCGGAAAGTGAGTTTGTTTGTTTGTTTGTTCCGCTTTCACGCCGTAACTACTTAACTGATTGCTTTGATTTTTTGCAGAAGTAAAGTTAGAAGTCCGGATTAAATAATAGGGTACTTTTTATCCCGGAAAAATTGATGTTCCTGAGGGAAAATAAAATTATTAGTATAGATGGCGCTGTGTGTATTGGTATAGGTATGTCACATAGGTTACTTTTTATCCTTTTGTGAGCGAAGCCGCGGGTAAAATCTAGTTGACTATAAACCCTCGTTTCTACTCATGTTTTGAGCCGGAGCCCCAGTAACTCGTTAGGTTGTCGCACCTCTTCACATTAGATGCTGCGTTGGATACTTATCAAGGTAAGTATTGGAGTTTTTAGAAAAACGCAGTTCATTCAAACATCTCGTTTTGACAATAGGAAAACAAAAAGCGTAGCTAAACTCACGACTAATATTTTTTTTATATAAATCATTTATTTCAGACCAAACGTCCATAAAATGTTAGTAACAATAATCTTAACCTATTGTTAGTAATTTAATATAATGTAATATAGAGGTAAATAAAATTAATTCTACTTTACTATTCGTGTTCAGTCTAATCCAATGGCCCAACATTGGACTGTCCCATTCATCACACATACAAACATCGGATCATATTGTAGGACACGTACAAACATCGCATATCGGAACAAATTTAATGTCGATCGAAGTAAAGAATGTGCGAAGTCCTCAATATTTTCTAAATCACGAGAAAAATGACAATGACCAAATTTGTATGGAGCGTGGTGCCTTTTCATTTTTTCGCGGCAGTTGATCGGATGTGGAAAAATAGATGCAGAATAACATTACAAATAAAAAAATGTATGGGGTCTTATATCAAAAACACAGTCCAAACCGAGTTAAATCAGTTCAAAGATGTGAAAATAGTGCTATATACATAATTCCTTTGATTTTGTTGATGGTGACCGTACACATCGCATATTTCTTCATTTACTTGTCAGAAATATTTTGTAATAAATGTTTATAGACGATTTTATGGAATATAATAAAGCTTATTATGGACTTTCATAATTTTTTTTTTGTTTATTTCTTTTTTTTTGTTATAAGGCCACGGATTCAGACCAGAGTGATCCATTAACTGACCATTGCTGAAGAAAAAAAAACATTTCGTTTGATTGACTAGCATGTTCAATTTATATGTATACGGTTTATGGCCTATAACAGATTTTCATGATCAATTTCCTCTCAGTCAAAAACCCGCAAAATACTTTACTGAGCCCTATCATGAAATGCTATGTTTGTCAGCTGCGGCATCGGTAGCGGATTAAGTAGTAACAGTCATCAAAACACGAAAAAATCATTTTTATGTCTACATCTCCTGACTTACTTCCGATTAGTAACTAATCTAACTACAGTTAATACTTTAATCTACATCTAGCATAAGATTCTGTACAAAGACATCGTCATTCAGTCACAAAGTGAAGCATTTCGAATGATCAGATTATAGGAAAAAATTATGCGCTCATCTGACGTATAGTCCATCTCTTTACAAAGTCGATGGTTTGCTTTTTTCAAAAAATTATGCTAACTATAAAGTAGATGAGTCTCCCACCAGGAGTCAACGGCAAAAAAATACTTTATTAGATGTTTGGACGGCTACTACTACTCAACCCACCAACGGTACCACAGCTGACACTCATGAAGGTTCATGACATAACTCCTAGAAGCATCCCACAAGTTATCGACTGAGAGAAAATAGGTAATAAAAATTATCGACTGGCAATATGGATATATTGTGGTGTGATTTGGTGTTTCTGTGCCCGGCGTACAGTGGCGCGCAATTTGAAGTTAGGAATTGTGACAAAAATATGAATAATTTGAATAAAACAACAAAAGTAAAATGTTTGATTCCAGCTCCTTTCAACGCTCATAACTCAGTCCAGACTGAGATTTCCATATATGAGCCCATAGACAATTTCGTTTGTAATGACATTCTAGATAATATTTTCCATAAATCATCGACTGCCGCCAGAAAAAAGAAAGGCACCAATTTTAGTCAATGCCCTTTCAAGCCCAATCATATTTCCGTCCAAGATATTTCGAGTTCAGCTACTGAACGGAACTATGAAATCCAACTGTTATCTACGAGTTTCAATCTTTAAAATGGACGAGGAAATCTATAGATTTGAAATAAGTTGACGGTAATTCATTTTGAAGTTGTCTGGAGAGATTAATCGGTAGATTTCGGGCTCTAGGTGGATTTTCTGAAATAAAAATGATTATCGGATATTAAATTTTATTTTAAGAAGAACATAACATAACAACACGCCTTTTTATCCCCGAAGGGGAAGGCAGAGGTGCAGATTACGGCACTTAATGTCACGATACAACGTAACACCCACTTTTCACCATTTATGTTATTAGTCCCATGTAATAGGGGGTGAGCCTATTGCCATATAACGGGTACATTTCCAAAGTCCGTGTTACTACTGAGATTTTTAGAAGCCTAGTAATATTTTGCTCGACCCGGGAATCCGAACTAGAGACCCCTTTCCCAGCAGTCGCACTTGCGACCACTCGACCAACAAGGGAGTCTCAAGAGCAGTTTCAAGAAGAGTAAAATAGAAAATGTATTAAACACAAATGTCATATGAGTGACCTTATTTAGCACGTACGTATACGTACGTAAATCTAGACTAGACGATGATACTTTATGTGAGAACTTCTAAATCGAATACCTCAATAAACGTTTTGCAAAAAAGAACACAAATATTCATACACGTACAGCAGTTGTTCTTAAATGTATTTCCTTGTACATTTTTCTAAGTTAAATAATAAGGTATAAGGTACTTTGGCGAGACACACTACATTTATTATTATGTTTTTCGGCTTAATCACGTAATTATTTGACGAGGAACTCGACTAGTTTCAAGCTAAGCTAGAGGCTCGTATTCATTTCATTTGAAACTAGTCGAGTTCCTCGTTTAATAATTACGTGAGTAAGCCGAACAATATAATAATAAGGTATAGTGTTTTACATACAGCAAAATCGGGCAGATGTCGATGGTTCGGAAAACGCAAATATCCATTAAATATGTTCATTTTCACCCGACACGAGATATATCACTTACCAATCACATGTTTAACACTCAATATTGAAATTAAAAAATCTCAACATCATTAAAATACTCAAAAAGGTTTACATAGTGGAAGAAGTGTCTGGATTTTTTAGGAAATACGATAGACAAATCAGCCCGCTGACATTTCAATTTGTATAAAATAATAGATACGGAGTTGTAAGTCGCAGGGCGTCCGTGGACTGACGCTGTGCATACGAAACGAACACTTCCGAATACTCCCGAATGTTCCCGATAATCACGGGATTTGAGCACTGGATGTAGCATTTATAGGGTATTTGAAATGTGAAAGGTTCATTCTGCCAAAGATGAGTTCATTTGTACCCATGCAGAAATATAAAAGGAAAAATGTCTCTAGCAGATAGCTGCTTTCCTTGTGTAGATTTACGTAAGCAGCTGTGAAGTCACTATTAGAGATAGATTTATTGACGATAGTTAATTTTCGATTAAGACGTCATTATACGCAAATGTGCGTAGTTTAAGAACAT